CACCACCAGTAGCGGCCTCAACAAAGACAAAAAGCTCACCGTTCTTCAGCCATACAACAATCAGGTAGGTGGAATCGGCTTTCTTCTTGAACTTTGAACAGGCTCATTCAAAATTCAAACTTCATTTTCAGGTCGGTGGACACACTCAGCTAATGCTACTCGACCAAAGCACACTCTGCAAGCCTCTGGTTCAGCGCGAACTGCTCTTTTATCTAAACATTCCTCGTGAGCTCCAAGAATACGTACCAAATTACAAAGGTAAGAAAGCGGAAACAGAGAAAAAGGGTAACATTTTGACTAACACTTCTGTGTATCATTTTTGCAGGCGTCGTTGAAATACGCTACTGTGAAAACAACTTTCCCACACTGTACCACCCGCACAAGCGAAATAACTCTTCGCCTTCAGTTCCTTCTGCCGGTTCTGCCGCCTCCAGTTCCACTTCTCTGGCCGTGCCTGGATCGTGGAACAAGCCCGAGTTGAAGTAAGTACTGCGGTAATCTGCTTGTAGCAAACTGTTCTAAAACAACCCTCCTTTTTCCGCAGAGTTCAACTGTGCACCTGCAATGACCGCCGCCTGTTGCAGCAGGCCGAACTGAACGGCGGCACCAGCGGACCATCACCGTCGTCCGCCTCTGCTCGCTCTGAACTGAGCAACTGCTACAGCTCTAGGCCCAGTCAGCGGTACTTTATGCTGCTGGAGAACATCACCTCCCACTACCACCTGCCCTGCATTCTCGACCTGAAGATGGGCACTCGACAGCACGGCGAGGATGCCTCGGACGAGAAACGACACCGACAAATGGCCAAGTGCGCCGCCACTACCTCAGCTAGTCTTGGTGCGTTTTATCCTTTTTGATACTGTCAGCGTGCTAATCTTAATCTCTCCCGAATCACAGGTGTTCGCATCTGCGGCATGCAGACATATCACAAGGTGGCGGACAACAACTACCGCCTCTACCAGGTGGACAAGTACTACGGACGACGCATCAAGAACGAATCTGGTCTTCAGAATGAGCTTGAGGTTAGTATTAGATCATTTTTAAAGAATTAACAACGATGACTAACAACTACTGTTTACGTTTGATAGATTTACTTCAAAAATCGACCTTACCTCATTGGCCCGGTGGTGAAGCGCCTGAAGGAGCTCAAGTCTCAGGTGCTGGCCACGCTGCGCAAGCGGGCCCTCCGCTTCTACTCCACATCGCTGTTGATCGTCTCCGAGGGCTGCTCCACGGCGCACCGCAACCGACCCATCTTCAAGCACCACAACTCCGACGGCGAGGAGGAGGACGAAGAGGACTACGAGGAGGAGTACTTTCACGACGGTGATGACCTGGATGACTTTGAGTCCGATGAGGAGGACCACTTTGAGGACCACGATGATGAAGAGGAGGAGGAGGTGCTGGGCGACTATGACGATTCAAACGATAGCAACAGCAGCAGCAATGACACCACCGCCGCCAATGTTGTGCTGGCACTGGACGACTCGAGCGCCGATTCGAGCGATGTCCTCATTCAGCAGCAGCCATCTCTTTCAGCAGCGCCCGTCTCCACCACCTCGCCCATTGAGTCCCGATACGTGCCCTCGAAGCACTACGTCTGCAACCGAGACCACCGCCGCCGATCGCCGCCCTCCAAACCGCCGGCGCCGGAGTTTGACGTGCGAATGATCGACTTTGCGCACACCTGCTTCTCTTCGGGCTCCTCCACGGACGGCTTCACCGTCGGCCTGGAGAATCTCATTCGCCTGCTCAACAACATTCGAGGACGGGGACAGCAGCAGAAGAAGTCGGAATCAGCCGGTGAAGTGGTGGTCAGCAGCAGCGGCGGCGGCCGTAACGGCAAGAAGCGTCGTCGAAGCAGTGGTCACGATTCACATCAGCACAACTTTCGAAGCCACCACCACACCCACCACAACCAGCACAATCATCACCATCANTCTTCGGGCTCCTCCACGGACGGCTTCACCGTCGGCCTGGAGAATCTCATTCGCCTGCTCAACAACATTCGAGGACGGGGACAGCAGCAGAAGAAGTCGGAATCAGCCGGTGAAGTGGTGGTCAGCAGCAGCGGCGGCGGCCGTAACGGCAAGAAGCGTCGTCGAAGCAGTGGTCACGATTCACATCAGCACAACTTTCGAAGCCACCACCACACCCACCACAACCAGCACAATCATCACCATCATCAGGAAGAGGAGCAGCACTACTTGTCGCGTGCTTTGAAGAAAAACTCTTCACAAGCTCTTTCTTCACCGGATTTTCTGTTCAGCGAGGAGACGGTCATGGAGCCCCCGAACTGTGATGTCACCGCCTAGTAAACTTCCGTTCTCTCTTATAACATTTCTGTGCGGCATTATTCAAAGTTCCCAAATACACGCTCTCACTCACTCACTCTCACACATCCTGCTCAACACAAGATGATTACACACCAGTTTTGTAAATGTTTTGTATCATTTATCTTTTTGAATTAAACAAAAATATAGAAAGTTATGTAACAAGTGTGTCAAATGAGAAATGGGGGTTAGGTGCAAAACGATTTCGACTTTCAGGCGGCTATCTCTTCGGTAGCATCGTCCTTGTCGGCGACTTGCTCGCGCTCCATGCTCACTTCTAAATCATAATTGGCGATCAGCGCATTGAACTTCTTAATCGACTCGTAGTATTTGCCTTCCAGCGTCTTGAGCGCAAGGATATTTTCCCATTTCCAGATTTTAAAAAGCTCTTCGTTTCGAGAACTGAATTCCATTACAAGGCTTTCCTGGATGAGAATTGGCTTAATGTCCGATTCCCACTCTTGTTCAGGTAGGTCGTACAAATTCTTAAAGAAACACAGCTCCTTCAATGCTCCAATACTAACCATCAGTGGGTGGTGGCAAAGGACCAGGTGCTTCAGTATAGTGATCTTCTCATCAGGCAGAAAAAATTGACCCTGTCCATTGCGTTCGCAGGGTAGACACATGAAAGGCTTAAAGGATGAGTGATTGATAAAATGAATTTTCTGCATTCGAAGCGAATATTTGCTTTCATGGTCGCTGTAAAACAGTGACACATCACCATCAAGTGACATCTTGAGACAAAGCTGGCACTGCTTGTGGAAAAAGCCGTCGCCGTCCTTTTCATTTTCCTCCAGAAAATAGGCACCTTGCATGTTGGTGAAGTTGTTCATCCAATTAAAAAAGAAGACATCATCTAGCGATTTGCAATCGAGCTCTCGTGGAGAATCTCCAAACAGGTGTTCGTACAGGTGAGCTTTTAAGAGTTTTATGCTAACCCATTCAGAGCAGAAAAAGCATCCAGCTCTATCATTGGTAAAAAAGTCATCGTCGTCGTCGTCGTGTTCATTGAACAGTTGAGGTTCTTCGTGAATGAGCTCGGACGGTTTTTGAAATTTCTTCGGAACATCATTGATCGCAACTTCAACCAGGTCAGCCTTTAGAGGAGCTTTGTGATAGTAGAGCATCGGATAGTCGGGATGTTCGCCAACATAGTGCGCAAAAAGATCAGAGCGAAGAACTGAAACGGTGGAGCAAAATAGACACTGATAGAAAGATTTATTGGTTTTGGATACTCTTGAGTGATCGTAGAACTCCTTCAGTCGAAGATGCTTGCTTGAATGAGGGGTTTTTAGGCAAAAAAGAATACTATTCTTGTAGTTCAGTGTTGAATGCTTCATGCTCTGATGGATGTTTACGTGCTCACAAGTAATGGCTCGATACGAACAATTGCTGCACTGGAAAAACCGAGATCCGTGTTTCTTCACAATGTGACGAATTAGAGGAATTGCCTCAGTGAACTGTTAAATGTAAATGCAAGTTAGATAAACAAAAGGAGCTAAAAAGCATTTGGATACCTTTTCACTTTTTTCGTTGCAGTAGAAGCAGGCATAGGTTTCAGCTGTGTGCTTCTTTTTTAGATGGCTTTCAAATGTACTCGCATCATCAGTGGAAAACTGGCATAGACTGTTCACGAGCTCGTCGGAACGATCGTAAACGTAGACGAAACACTTGTAGAAAGGAAAATGCCGAGTGAAAAACGTGGGATTCTTTTCCGCAAATTCGACTAGTTTTTTCTTCTCCCAGATCAACTGTGGATCCTGGTCAGAATACTTGTTGAAGAACAGACGGACGGTGCTGTCAAATGTGACTTCCATGTTACGTTTTCTGGCGATGAAGTTTGAACATTAAAATATAAAACAAATCGAAACGTATTCTGCTGCATCACGAAGGAGAAAGAAGAAAACCGACGATCCAACTTTGCCGCACAAAATAGAACAACCTCAAACGGAGAAAAATATTTTTCGTTCTCAAACTGCTGAACACAAACAACATGCCCACGCGTCTTAGCGCCCCTGACCGAATTCTCGGTGGGCGCTGCAGACCACACATAGGTAGTCGTGAACATCCTGTAACTTATCATGAATGATTTTACAAGAAAAATGGCAGTCAAAGATGCTGAAACAACTTTGACAAAGTGAAAATCAGTTAATAGCTAAAATTAATTAGTTTTTATAAGGGATTACTGGTATATACCTACTTTCTGGGTGATTTGGAGTTTTCATGACAGCGCAGAGTCACTGTAGTTCACCGTGGCTCACTCGCTCTGGCGGCCACACTCTGCGCCGCTGACAACAACATTGCCGTTTCTCGCGCTGTGTGTCAATCGCGCCGAAAGTGATCTCGAATTTACCGTAATCAGCTCACCGTCGGATATTATCGGCCTTCATCACCTGTGTTCGTTGAAGATTGTAAAGTGTTTACACTGAAGAAAAATTGAACACGCTCTGGCTGTGTTTTGTGGACGTTTTCGAAAAGTTCTCCCATCGTTTTCGCTTTTGCGCCATTTTGATTTCTCAATACGCGTCACCATCTTTGAACTCTTTTGGTTTCTGGTTCGCCTTTACCGCTCTTCAAATACATCTTATCATCATCACCATCAGCAGCAGCAGCAGCCGAAGCAGTCATCAAGTGGAAAAGTCACCTGGGCGTACCACCTTGTGAGTGATGGTCATCAATCCTGAAGCGAGCGGCATGAATTTCCCTCCGATAAACACTCCCGCCGGCTTTATAAACGGAGGAGGCATCATCAACGCCTCCAGCTCTACGAATTCCATATCCAACCTGCCCAGCATTGTCACCAGCAGTCCACTGCAGTCTCTGTGCTGTCTGGTGGAGAATGGCATCAAGTGCTCTCGGCCTTCGGGCAATGCATCCTACTCGAAACGGATCGAGAAACAGGCAAGTGGGCAGAGTTGTGAGATTTAGCATTCATCAAAATAACTAACTTGTTTCCCTATTTTCCGAATTTACAGGTGACGCAACGGAAACTTCGGTTAACAGTTGACCGACACACCCCGCACACGTACATCTGCGAGCACCATAAGCAAATCATTCAATCCATCCGCACCAGTGGCAAGCGCAAGCGAAAGGACGATGACAACGGACACGACGATGACCTGTCGAATGACGTTCACGACCGGAATGACTCCTACGCATCGGGCCCGGCAAGAGCATTCAACACCACCGCCTACGATATTGACCTGCAAACACTGCAGGTGAACACCTTACGGCGCTACAAGAAGACCTTCCGCGTGCAGACGAAGCCCGGTCTGAACAAGACTCAACTCGCTGAGGTTTGTGTTTTATATTTTTTTTTAAACTGCCGGCCCTAAATAACGCCTCTGCCAATATTTTTTCAGGAACTAACCCGACACTTTCGCATGAATATACGGGTCGATGAGAAGGAGATCATCCACAACTTCATGAGCAACATCAAGTCCAACAACAACAAGGCGGAATTTAATCCAAACAGCAAGAATGACTAAGAAAGAAAAAAAGGTTTTTTTCATTCTTCTGCTTCAAGAGTTATACCTTCATCATTTTCTAAAAGATTTCCTCACATTTAATAGCTTTTATATTATCTCATTTTCATCAACTACACTGTACTACTAAATCAGCAAAATAATAAACAAAACTGGAATCAAGTTCGGTCGTAAATCCTTTTGATTTTATTGATAAATTTTTTTCAAATAAATACTTTCTTTACAAGTTCATTTTTTTACATTTTCCTAGGGGGTGTTAAATATAATAAATTATAATTGAATAAACAAGTACTAATTTTTGACAATAATCATAATAATTGCAAAGAAAATGTAGAGTGCAGAGGTTGTCCTTGCTAGATGGGTCGGTAGAGATGGAATTAGCAAAGGAAGCAAGGTTGCGACTCGACGTTTATTTCGTGGCCTCTTCCAGGTAGGCGATCAGATCTTCGCGCTCTGAAGCCTTCTTCAGGCCGACAAAGACCATCTTGGTGCCTGGGATGTACTTCTTGGGATTCTCCAGGTACTCAAAGAGGGTATCGTGGCCCCAGGTGATGCCTGCAGGAGAGGAAAGGGTTAGCAAAGTCAGGTAAGAGTCAAAGTCATTTGTGTGGGGCAGTGTGTACCTTTCTTAATGTTGGCGTCGGTGTACTCAAAGCCGGGCGCCTGGCCGGTCTTGCGGCCGATCAGACCGTGCAGGTTGGGTCCGGTCTTGTGGCCGCCACCCTTCTCCACGGTGTGGCACTGGGCGCATCGCTGGACGAAGACCTTCTTGCCCTTCTCGGCGTTTCCTGGCATGCTTCAGTCGGTAGAGAATGTGCGGTTGAGCCTACAGATGAGGGAGTTATGAAGAGTCTGCGAAGGAGAGGAAAACGGGTCAGTAATTCAGTAGAAGTAAAAGTGATGGTCGTGGTAGTGGTGTACCCGACCGTGTGTTCCAAGAACAAACACACACACACACACACACTTGGAACGGACGTACCTGGTGAGAGCAGTACTGCTGCCGCTGCACAGAAATCGTACAAATGAGAATGAGCTGCTTCCAAAGCGAGTGAGATGATCTTCAGGCCGGCGTGAAAGGACACGCGAGAGACAGCTGTGCTGTGCTGGTGGCAGCAGTGGTGGACGCGTTCGGGCGATGTGGCCTGGCGCGCTCTTTGCGGGAGACTGCTAGCAGAGAGCGAGCGAGCGACAGAAAGGGCAGCTGGAGGAAGGAAGTACAGACGGCAAATGCAGGCAACGAGGCCAATGGCAACGGCAAGTACAATGAGGGTGAACCTAAAAACTGGAGAGAACTGGCGTCACTGTGCCTCTGCTCGTACGATTGATTGCTGGTAGATTGCACGAGGTGGGCGCCTTTTCTACTTTTTTCCTCAGAGCAGGCGGCGCCGTAGTGACGCAACACCTCAACAATGCAGCCGACCATTCACATAGAACGTGTCAATTTAAAAAAAAAGAGCGAAAAGCAAAGTTCAAGGGTCAGCAGACGACCACGTGGGGAGGTGAAGGCAACGACTCAGACTTATCATCAACTTATAAGATAGCAAGAGAAAACTTTCCACTTGTCGTTATCGTCGTTTGGTGGTATGCAAGAGAGTGAGAGAGACTTTATTGACACTGGTAATAAATAGTATAAATAGCAAACCGGTGACATTTTTAGCGCTACTTCTCACCAGGTGTAATTAAACAATTTTAATAATTAAAAATATTGATTCCTGATCAGGCGGTGATGATGCGCATAGTGTTTGTGAAACCCGAACCCTCTTTCCAACCTGTAATTAAAACTATACTGTCACCTTCCTTGATGAAGCCCCTCTTCTTTCCGTAAGCGACGCCGTAGGCAATGCGGGCGTCCATGTCAGAGGTCCAGTCGGCCTCGCGCGGTTCATTGTAGAAGACGGGGAGAATGCCGCGGAAGAGATGCGCCTGACGGGTGACCTGCGCATTGCGGCTGATGGCGATGATCGGGCAGCGAGGGCGGTACTTGGCCACCCGGTGCGCCGACTGTCCGGTCGTGGTGATGACGATGATCGCCGAGGCGGAGAGTTTCTGCGAGGCGGACACCGCGCTGATGGCCGTCGCCGTGGTGGGGTCGGTGGGTGAGCGGGTCTTGAGGTTGAGCTCAAAGAAGAGCGAGCGCGAGTGGATGGCCGCCTCCGCCTCCAGGCAGATCTTCTGCATCATCTGCACCGCCTCGATGGGGTAGTCGCCCTTGGCCGATTCGCCCGACAGCATGACGCAGTCGGAACCGTCGAGGACGGCGTTGGCAACGTCGGACACCTCGGCTCGCGTCGGCCGCGGCTTCTTGATCATGCTCTCGAGCATGTGCGTGGCGCAGATGACCGGTTTGCCGGCGACGTTGCACTTGGCGATCATCATCTTGTGGGCGAGGATAACCTTCTCTGGGGGAATTTCAATTCCCAGATCGCCGCGGGCGACCATGATGCCGTCAGAATGCTCGATGATCTCGTCGATGCGCTTCACGCCCTCGTGGTTCTCCACCTTGCTGATGATTTTGATCTTCTCTCCGCCACGCTCGGCGAGGAAACGGCGAATCTCGCGCACCTGTTCGCCGTTGCGGATAAAGGAGGCGAAGACGATGTCCACCTTCTGCTGGATGCCAAACTCGAGGTCCTTCTGGTCCTTCTCAGAGAGGGCGGGCAAGTCGACGTTGGAGCCAGGCAGGTTGACGCCCTTGTTCGAGCCGACCATGCCGCCGTTCTCCACCTGACAGAGCAGGTAGTCGGCGGCCTT